TGCAGAGGGAGATCAGTCCACGCCGCGACCTCCTCGGGGAACATAGCCTCCTTACTCTTTTGAAGAGCATGGGTCGGCGACAACACACTCCTGAAATCCCCCGGGGCCCCCGAGCCCGAGGGCCCAGCTCGCGTATGAGCAGACCCAGAGTAAGCAGGAGCGCCGGAGTATGTAGAAGCCCCTGTGTAGGTAGTCTCAGCATAAGGGCCCCCTGTCGGCTCCTGCATTGGAGGAACCATCTCGGGCTCCCTGGGCAGGTCTTCTGGCTGATAGTCCGGCACCTCGGGCTCCGCATCCCGGGGCTTCTCGGTGTGAGTTCGTTTGGCAACCCGCTTTCTCCTCTTCATACCTTGGAACAAGTGCCCACCCCGGGTCCCTCGAGAAACCATCACACCTGCGAAAAGAAGTTCGCCATCAGTGAAAAGCAAGAAAGACAGCAAGACAGAATCGCTAAGTAAAGAACCTACCCGAACTCAGGCCGGTCGCAATGAGCTTGGCCTCCGTCAGATATTGTTGACACTTCAGCCCAAGCCGCGCCCATTGCCGGAGGCCCTTCGCCGTCTCTTTTTCTTTATAATTTCTCTCTCACTCTCTCTCTATTCAGTCGTTTCAGCAATAGTAAAAATATGGGATAAATTTCGGGCTCGGGCCCAAGTTGTAAGCCCGATGGTCAGGCCGGGCTTGAGCTCAAGCTCGGGCCTTAAAAAAATCTGTTAATACAAAGTGAAAGTCCGGCCCGACCCGGCCCATGAAAGGTCTACTACTACTTCTAGACACTATTCCCAATACCATCCCATGTCCAAAAAAACTTCCACTTCCTACCAATATCTTTGTGTAAAAGAAATAATCAAGTGATGATTAAAGTAAAAAAAAAATGTGATGATTAAAGTCAAACACGATCTACTCAAAGAAGCTAGTTTTTTTCTTTTTTTTCACAAGAATTAAATTTTGTTTAAAAAACCAGAGAAAAAGGGGAAACCACGATGAGGGATTTCTAACTTCTACAAACTTCAAATACATAGACTAACCTAAGATTGAATATCTTTTGTGATCATATATTCTGCCATTCAAAGCTTATGGCCTGGAGAACGTCCAAGCCCGATCCTGTCTTTCTGAAAAAAAAAAAAAAACATCTACAATGTTAAATATAGCAAGAGAGAAAGATATGAATATTCAAATTTTGAATACACAAATTTTATCTTAATGTCTTCACCCTATTTGACTTGTTCGACCACAACGCCCTTATCTTACTCGACCTATCATTCAGAGAATAAAAATTCTAATGGTGACAAATTGAGACATTTACAACCTAAATCTATAGAATCGGAAACGAACTCTGAGAATGAGAGAGTTCTAACCTATGCTGACTTTTACTGAATAACTTCAGTCGAAGACGGTGTTCCTCCGCAAAGTCGAACTCGGTGATGGTGTTCTAATTCTGAGTCGAAGATGAAGAGTGGAAAAGAGATGGAGGGAGAATTGGGAATTTGGGATTAGCGCATGAGTTTCATTGGAGGGAAAAGTATAAAATGTGGTGGCCTAGTGGCGGGAAAAGGGGAGTTCTGTTTTTTAAGAAAAATATCAAGATTTAATTTAGGGTAAATCTCTTAAACACCCCTTACTGTTTGGTCTAATGACATGCGGTACCCTTACTGTTTAGCTATTGTCTTGTGATACCCTTAAGTTTTTTGACAAATGTCCAACTCCTTCCCTTCCATTACTCAACCGTCAGGTCCCGTTTGCATGTGACACCATGTGATTGATACTTTTTCCATAATTCCCAAACTACCCTTTTATGGTCGAAAATACCCTTTTAGTTTTAGTTCGGGCTTGCTAGCTATGTCAACAATGAATCGATTGAACCTATCACCAACATTGGAACTAAGGCTCACCGGCGTCCAATTGCTAGTCACCGGCATTGATTGTCAGCATCGGCATCGTCAGTGCGGTGGACTTTTCGTAGAGTAGGTTATCAGTCACTGACGTCCTCTTACAGAACGGCGACCCCATGAAGGGTTTTGAAACCCATTTTAACTTGTAGCGTCGGAACCATTGTTGGTGACCCCAAAAGGGTTTTGAAACCCGCAATGTGGGGGAGGATAACGGCATTGACCCCAATGCACTGCGCCACTGCCAATGCGATGTGGGGGAGGAGAGAGGAGAACGACAGTAGGATTTTGATTTCAAATAGATGCAGTCATTGACTGTCACCCCATGAAACCCATTTTAACTTGTAGCGTCGGAACCATTGTTGGTGACCCCAAAAGGGTTTTGAAACCCGCAATGTGGGGGAGGATAACGGCATTGACCNCCGGCAATCCCAACTCCCACCCCCTTCCACCCCGTATGCCTAGTCACCCATATGTGACCTCTAATCTGTTCTAATGATTGCAGGTACAACAACTGTAAGTGGGCACCATGAACGTTGGCCAACAGTTCTACGGGTGCCACTACTATGTATGTAGGTATCAGTTAGGTAATTTTGTTGTAGTTTGCCCAACATGGTATATGTTTAATAACATGTATTTGTTATAGTTTACCCCCGATAAACGATGCAACTTTTTTCTTATGGAAAGATGAAGTAATGATGTGTCCCTATGGCATTGGACTATGCTGAGTGTTCACATCGAAAAATCCTAACAGCCAAGGAAAACGGTTCTGGGTATGCACAAAGCCTCAGGTAAGAAAAAAATTTGTTATTCCATAATTATTTTGTTCAATGACTTATGAAAATTCAATTTTTTTTGTATGATGCAGGTGGCTATAAATTTTTTTCATGGGTAACATCGGTGGATAATGTAACCATGAAAACATATGTTGGTCCAGGACCTTCTAGAATAAATGAAAGGTCATCTATGGACACATTGGATGAAGTAGTAGTTGTACAATCTGAGAAGGATAATTTGGATAGGATGTCCGAATTTTGTAATAAGTTATTAAAGCGTATCAAGAATTTGCGCATAAAAAATTCATGATGTGGCTTTCTAATTTTGTCATTAGTGTTTGAAGGTGTCTGTTTAATCAAACAATTGTGAAAGGTTCATGAACTAGTAATAGTTGTACTCTCTCTCTCTCTCTCATATATTTTATCAAACATTGAAGGTGTTTATTTAATCAAAAAATTGTGAAAGATTCATGAACTAGTAGCACCTTTTTTCATATATAGACTAATTTCATAACTGGTTCTATAACATGCAGAAAACCAGTTCAACACTATCAAACATGGCAACTTGGTGGGTTAGACATGTACAAAATGTTTGCTACAATGTATTTACCCCTGCATTGACATCAATACCAAGACTCAAACTTAGTAGTCATGGGTGGAGTAATCAAGTTCTTGCTACAACTGTGTCATTGGTGGGCCAGTCAAGTTCCTGCTACAATGTAGAGCAACAACTTTTCCTCCTTGCTCAACTGAAGGAATAGCACCCAGCCCAATCAAATACATTAAATCATGATATTCAAAGATAGACTATTAATTATGCAATCAGTTTATTCAAATTGTTCTCTCCACCCTATCAGTTATGGAATCATAACCCAGTTAGACAATCAGTTATGAAATCAGTATTCAATATATTTAAAGATAGACTATCAGTTATGAAATCAGTCTATTCAAACTGTTCTCTCCACCCTATCAGTTATGAAATCATTATATTCAAGATAGACTCTCAGTTATGTAATCAAAATATTCAAGATAGACTATCAGTTATGAAATCAATCCATTCAGTTGGGGTTTCAACTCAATCAAACACTTGCATCCATATGAAATGAGTCCATTCAGTTGGGGTTTCAATAAAATCAAACACCTACATCCAAATGAAATTAGTCCATTCAGTTGGGGTTTCAACTGAATCACACCTGCATCCATATGCAAGCTGATATGTAGAACCTGTGTTAACTGAAACAAACACTTACATCAAACCCAACTCGCATCCATATGCGTTAAATCTAAGGAATTCTAAAGAATTCCAAAAAGTAAAAACTGTGTCAATTGTATCAATACAAAAGTTCTATAATCATTAACAAGTTCATATGTTCTCTCCTACATCACTGTTCTAAAGTTCAAAATATAATCACTAACAAGTTCTATGTGTCAAAATATATCAAAGTTCAAAGTATTCCAAAGTTCAAAAAAATAACACAGCTGAAAGTTGTGTTCCTCTACCTCTCATGGTTGGGAGTATCTCAAATCTTGGCTACTCTGTTCCTCTATACACTCCAATTAGAATGAAAGTCAGTACAAACTTCAGCTGACATACTAAACTATTATGAGAAAACAAAAATGTCCCCACCTATCTTCCTAATGAAGCAATGTCTTGATGTTGCAAGTTCCCCATGTCAGCTCTACCACCTATACCTTCCCCTCCCCCATCCCCCTTGTTCTACCACCCCTATCAGACATTCCGCTTGCACTACCACCTGCTGCTCTTGATGATGAGCCAGCAACAACTTGTGTAGAAATAGCCCCTCTCCTAAGTGGCAAAGCTTTCCTTCTTGCAGATTGGGTATGATCATGATCAGCAACAAGCCCTCCACCCTATAATTCACATACCCTAGTTAGTATACAGTACACAAGTAAAATACCATTCATAATTTCATTTGTGTTGAGTCTTGAGTGATTTTTTTACCACTAGAGTCTCTCTGTTCATATTCGGAGGAAGGGCTCTATAATTCTTTCTGGTATGCCCTATTACACCACAAATGGAACACCTAACTGTCTTCCGTTCTAGTGGGGTAGGGTATAATGGGGCTACTTCATCCTCTTCTCTTGGGGGTCGACCTGCCCTCCTCCTCACTATGGGGGGTCTAACTACCCATGTCTAATGACATGGGTCAAACCCATGTCTGGACCATATGTCGGGGGAATCTTGCTAAGCCATTCAAATACATATCTGGACATGCTTTTGATTACTTCCATATAATGAACAAAGTCAAATTGGGTATATGATTTCCTAGCAGCCCATACAACATCCTTCAATGCCTTTCCCTTGAATAGCTTTTTGAAGTTGCTATATAGATATCATAGACAGAACCTATGATTTGCACCAGGCATGCAACATGATACAGCTTCAACAATGCCCAACAAACAAGAATCACATTTATTAGTTTTATTTGTAATCAAAACAAAAAAACTATGCATGAACTCAACCAAACAAATATATACATACCTTCTGCCTATCCAACATAAATGTCCACCTATGTGGGCCATCAATACATAGAGCATCTCTTAACTCAACCAAGAACCAGATCTAATTGTCTCTACTTTCAGCTTCCACCACAGAATATGCAAAAGGAAAAATTCCATTATTGCCATCAATCTCTACATCGGTGAGTATTATACCCCTATTGCACCAGTCTTGGTGTGACAACCATCCAGTCCAATTATCTTTCTATAACCATCCAAGAACTCATCCCTTGGACTTACAAAACATATGAATACTCTCTTGAAAATCCCATATATGTCTTCTTTTGAGGTAAATGGGGTATGTAGCTTCACAACAGACCCAGGGTTGTTTGCAAGTAAAATTGTACAGTACTGAGGACGTATTGCATATGAATCTGCCAAGGATCCCCTGATCCTATCAACAGTCTTAAGCTTGGCCCTATGTACTTTCCTCCAAGTCACATCTATCCCAAACATTATCCTAATTTCAAACATAAGCACACTGCTTGACATGGTAAGATCAGCCCTTAACAACCCTTCATTCTTTGTTGATAGTCATGTATTTGTTGCCTCCCTATTTGTAGTTACCCTGATACAACTTGTGTGTATCATTAAGGGTCTCAACTAGGAAGCTGCCTCCATCATGGCTAGGGGAGGCATGAATCCTCCAGCCACAGTCAACTACATCACACACTCCAATAAACCTGCACTTCTCATTTTTTCTTCTTTTAATCTCTACACCCTACACCACACAATATTGTTTTAATGCTTTCCTAAACTCTTTTGCATTGGTAAACTCCATACCAACCCGAAATCTTGGTTTGGAAAAGTCAAACTCTAGTGTATTGCCCCTCCCTTGGACTGTCATACTCACTAGTAGGCTCATAGTTAGACAAGTCAGCACCATCACCATCATGTACACCCTCATTACCATCATTATCATCTGAACCCTTATGATCCCCACCATCATCATATGAACAATCCTCACCATCATCATCTCAGTAAGCATCACCATTATCATACAAACCCTCAAATTCCCCATCATCAACACCATGATGACTATCCAACCCCTCATAACTACCATGGCTATGACCAGCAACATCATCATCATCATCATCATCAACTACATAACAGTCAATATCATCATCATCATCATCTTGCAATTGTTCCTTTCCCTTGCCACTACACCCATCATCCATACTAACACACTTGGCTTCAGTATACATAATATAAAATATTATCTTACGGAGGTCCCCATGGATGGCAAACATGTCCATCACATCATTTTCACAACCAAAAACACCTAAATGCTCCTCTAAA